GGAGAATTTTTCTCATAAGCTCTAGCTATTTATCTAAAACTCATTAAATAAATATATTTATTTTTAATTTATTGTTGATGCAGGATCTTTTGAGCATACTGTCAATACTTTTGTCCTTGGCCACATTGGTTTATTCTCAGAATTTTGATGTGACAAAGTATGGAGCAATTGGAGATGGAAAGTCAGATGACGCAAAAGTATATATTCTTTTTAGTTGTTATCTCATTCATATTCTCTTTAATTTATCTTTCACAGGTATTGGAAATTAAAGTAATATATTGGCATTTATTTTAAAGGCTTTTATTAAGGCATGGAAAGATGTTTGTGGTTCAGCATCAAAAAATCCTTCACTCATTATTCCAGAGGGAAAGACATACTCAATCCTATTAGGTTCGAAGGTCCTTGTAAGTCTGATGTTGCGGTTCAGGTAAATGATCATTAAAGTCAATTAAATTTACAACTTATATGACCTTAATTACTATAGGAACTCAATTATATTCATATATACAGCTCTATTACACTTAAGGGATTTCAATTTTTTTTTTAAAAAAAAACATGGTACAGATTATAGGTAATATCATAGCAGCTAGTAATACTGCACCAGTTTGGAAAGAAACTCAATCAAAAGTATGGATTACCTTTTCAAAAGTTAAAGGACTAAACATAAGTGCAAAAGGTAAACTTGATGCAAGAGGAGCTGACTGGTGGAAGACTTGTTCAAATGTAAGCAATATTAACAAATTTGATGAATTAGCTTCCCACTTTTAGCTCATTTTTTGAGTCACAATTATAATTCACATCTCCATTTGTATTTTCAGATGCAAGGGTGCATTAGACCAACTGTAATGAAAACTTCCTTCTTCCGACCTGGTTCATTTTTTAGCCAAATGTTAATCTTACGACAGTACTTACAATCATCATAGGCAAAACCCTATGTTAAGCTCCTTACTCTCTAGCTAAACCCCTAAATTTTTTATTAAAGCAAATAAACCCATAAACTTGATAATTTGGACAATTTAATCCTTTTCCTTACAATAAACTTAATGCCCGTTTGTGTTTTATTTATGTGGGTAAAATCAGTACTTGCCAAATAAGCAATGACAAGTTAATATCTTGTCCATGAAAGTGAGGCACAAATAGATGATAAATTTGCGGTAAAGAAAGAGGGTTAAATTGCTTGGATTAACTTCAAGAGTTTATTTACTTCAATAAAAGTTTTAGGAGCTTAATTGAGAATATAAAGTAAATTAGGGAGTTTAATGTAGGGTTTTGCGATCATTATATGCATCAAACATCTAATAATTTCATTTGATTTTGGCTTGGTAATGGATAGACCCTAGCGTTTCATGGTTGTTCGTCCTTTCGGGTGCACGGATTAACCTCAGTCAATAGTGCACGAAACCATATCTCTATAAGCGGTTGCAGCCATGGAACCTTAAGTTCCATCACTTTTACTGCCCCAGATGAAAGCCCTAATACCGATGGCTTTAACATTATTGCCACATCAAACAATATTGAAATTCTCGATAGTAACATTGGAACTGGTATGAAAATTTGCCTTTTAGTCAATCTCTTTCCATATCCCTTCTAATTTATCAATTTGAATATTTTTCACATTATTTGTATGTAGGTGATGATTGTATTGCAATTAACAATGATTCCTCTTATATCAACGTCACTGGAGTGAGATGTGGTCCCGGCCATGGTATTAGGTTTGTTATTAACCATCTATCTATTTTTCGATGTTTCACCTCCATAAATTAAATTGCGTACACAAGGCAAAAATATAAATAAATAAAAATACACATATTTATAAGGTTTATATATAAAACATTAGACTTTTATTTTTTAAAATATTTCTAAAAATTTAAATTTAATATCTTTAACATAAAAATTTGATACTTAAACTATTGATATGTTCTTGAAAGGACTATTTTAAGTAGCTGAGCATATACATGTACACCCCTAGTAGTCCACGTATTATCATTACTTAAATTTCTTACAGTGTTGGAAGCTTAGGAAAAAATGGAGAAGAAGCCAGAGTTGAGGAAATACATGTAAAAAACTGTAGTTTCATTGGAACAGATAATGGAGCAAGGATCAAAACATGGCAGGTAACCAACAGAATCATTTAAATACATTTATACATTTAATTTAATCTCTGGCTAATTTCAACTTTCCTTCCATAATTCTTTTGCACGCACTTAATTAATTTTGTAGTGAGGGAAAGGATATGCTAGAAAGATCTCATTTGAGAACATCGAAGTCAGCAATTCTTCCAATCCAATCATTATTGATCAGTATTATTGCCCTCATAGTGTTTGCAGAAATCAAGTAAAAAATTTACTCTTTAGCTGACATTAAAATTGATAATTTAATTAGTTAATATTTTCAGAAGTTAATACGTGCTTAACTCTTGTTTTGTTTGAAATGTTGAAGACCAGTGCCGTTTGGATAAGTGATGTTACATTCAGAGGCATCCGAGGGACAATCAGAAAAGAAAAGGCAATTAACCTACACTGTAGTGAAAAAGTAGCTTGCACCAACATTTTGGTAGAAGACATCAACTTAAATTCCCTTGTTTCAAACAAGAAAGCTTATTCCTCTGGCACCAATGCTTATGGAAGAACTTCTCGATCGACTCCTCTAGTTGAATGTTTATTAAAATAACAGCCTAAAAGCTTTGTCTTTATGCATTGATGAAGACATCATTGTTCCCGCATCTTATATACAAGTCTAACAACCATCAAAAAATTTGTATCCATGCAAACTTTGAAATAAAGTTCTTCATACTTTCACAAAGATAGAGATAATATTTTTCCTTAATTTTTGTCTATCACATGCCTTCAATAGTCATGTTTTGCAACATGTCTAAATTGACAGCCTTTGCTAATAAAACGAAAAAAAAAGAAAAAAAGAAAAGAACTATGATCTTCAAGATAGCTTAAAAACTACAAGGTCCATATATAAACTACCAGCATTATGTGAACATGATATATTCCTATTGTTCTTGAATATTGTCTTTAATCAATAATCCAATGTTTGAGTGGAAAAACCAAGTCAATCTCCTTTTCCCTGTTAAGGGTAAAATAATCATTGTCAAAATAAACAAATTTATGCAACTTAAGTTGATAAAAAAAAAAAATTATGCAACTTGATTTTTAAAAGTGCTACTGT